AAAAGTCAACTCATTGACAACCTATTGACGACGACCAGACTAACAAACTTGCACTGACCCCTATGCACACTCAGACTGGTAGATCTGACACCAGTTCGGACAGACTGACAGACTGGCGTCAGAGGAACAGGTCGGTGGAACAAACTCACTCGATCAAGGTCTTGATTGGAGACTACCACCGGTCAACCTGTTGACCGAGAAACAGGGGGCCTGGCTGACTCACTGTCGGTCAGCGTCCAAACTGAATCGTCGCCGCAACTTTCAATCAACCCTGCATGTGATTTGCCGCTCAATTGTCTGCTGCAAATTGATATTCCCCCAAGTGGGGTCTGCAAAACTAGTGGACGACCAAATAGGCAGCGCCTGCCACTTGAGGGTTGCGAAACCCTCAGGTCAACCGGTGGTGCTAATTAGGGTTGACGCCCTAATTAATTACTGCCGGCGGTCCGCCCCACCATTTTTTTCTTTATTTGTTTTAAACTCGCTTTCTTGCCAATGCACACCAATCAATCAACAGTTGTCGCCACCGACGTCGTTAAAGACCATGGGGCACCTCCCCAAACCGCCAACCGCCAGCCCAACAGATGTTGGCCAACTAATTAGTTTATTGGATGCACTCCTCACAAAACTGGAGAGAAGATATGCACAGCGGAAGCTCAAAATTCACAGAGAATTGAAAAACAAATTTCAATTCTGAAATCCCTCGTCCTCCTCCAATCAATCAAGAATCACAACCGCGTTTACAACAACCAGGAACAACCAAAAACAAGTGTTCAACGAAGTATGCAGGAGTTTTCTTCTTCCTCCTCACCACCTCACACCCCTGGCTATGGCTGCTGTAGCAGAAGTTACACTACAGTTGTCACAACGTGCCAATCTGAACCAGCAACCCCAATGATAGCAGCACCAGCTTAGCGCCTGCACGGAAGTGCAGCGCAGGAAGTCCTGATGAAGAAGGAGACAACCGATCCAGCACTTCGAAGAAGATGAAGTTCCTTGTGAGGAGGAACAGCAGATATGGCTGCCAAGTGGAAAATGACAGCGCCCAAACCCAACAACACAGACTTGTGGAAGCTCTCACGCAGAGCTGCGAAACAGCGGCAGTGCGATCTTCAGCTTCGTTTCCCAACCCCAGCTATTGTTGGGCTTCAAGGAAGAAGATGACCTTGCCCAAGAGCAGCAGTACACCAACGGACGGGCAGAGTTTCCCCAGAAAAGAAAACCTGAAAAGACCCGAACCAGATTTCCTGCCCGCTACTTCTACCCTCTGCCTAGACCTGCCAGGGACTCCAAAGGCAACAACCCAAAACTCATCTGTATCTGGATGGAAACAGGGGGAAAAGGGGACGTAGACCTATGACAAGGCAAGAGGAAAAGGCCCAATGGCCTAAGGTTACCAAACAGAAACTATAGTGACAGACTCAGGGATCCAGTCCCATAGGGCAACACTTACAAACAGAACACACGAGTGACATTTGAACCTACAATATCACCCTTATGAGCGGTGCGTTTGAACCAAGTCAACTATAAGCCCAGGAACTTGCTTCAGAAACAAGAAAACTAACTCAAGGGTGGTACCTGTAAGGCCAGGATTTCCCGGCCATTTTTTACAGGTACATAATTTCATTAAAACACGAATAGAGTCAAGAGTTCCACCGTTAGGCTCGAAGAAAGAGTCGAGCCTAGACGGTCAATCAGAGAATACTCAGAATCCTGAATTACTACTCTTTTGTGGACAATCGATCATCATTATGGTGGATAGTTCACTTAATGAAGGAATCTTGTGCATTGACCTTAGCGCTTAAAAACCGCACTAAGTTCAAAAGGTCACAGGATCAAGTCCTGCCAAAAGTCTTGTAGTGTGTTTTGTTGTTTTGAGCTGTGCGGGACTTGATCCCGTGTCCTGTCACTCGTGTGTTCTGTTTGTAAGCGCTGTGCCCTATGGGACTTGATCCCTGAGTTGTCACTAGTAGTCTCTGTTTGGTAACCGTAGGCCATTCGGCATTTTCCTCTTCCCTTGTCATAGATCTCTGTCCCCTTTTCCCCCTGTTTCCATCTAGACACAGATGAGTCTTGGGTTGTTGCTTTCTAGTTTGGTTTCTTGTTTTCAGCTGTGCAGGACTTGATCCCATGACCTGTAACTCCTGTGTTCTGTTTGTCAGTGCTGCGCCCTATGGGACTTGAGTCTGTCACTGTCTGGTAGCCTTAGGCCATTCGGCCTTTTCCTTTTGCCTTGTCATATGTCTAGGTCCCCTTTCCCCCCTGTTTCCATCTAGATACAGATGAGTCTTGGGTTGTTGCATTCGGAGTCCCTGGTAGGTCTGCAGAGGGTAGAAGTAGCGGGCATGAAATCTGGTTCGGGTCTTTTCACGTTTTGAACTGTATATTCCATATGAGACGCTGGGCCCGGTTCCCAGCACGTGCTGCTCCCCACGAATAGATTGGAGCACTTGTTTTTCAAAAGGAAAAAAAAAGAAAATGTACAGCCCCACTAGGAAACTGTGATTTATTGCACCTCCGACAAGCAGTCACCACGATGTAATTCAGGATAGCCTCTCTCTCTCTCTCTCTCTCTCTCTCTCTCTCTCTCTCTCTCTCTCTCTCTCTCTCTCTCTCTCTCTCTCTCTNCTCTCTCTCTCTCTCTCTCTCTCTCTCTCTCTCTCTCTCTCTCTCTCTCTGTGTGTGTGTGTGTGTGTGTGTGTGTGTGTGTGTGTGTGTGTCCAATATATCCCATGGCGTACTCGCCATGCACCCCATGGTACACCCCGCCCTGCCGCAACCAAACTAACACTGCATGCTGCCACTCAGCGAACCCACTAGAGCTACCTCGTACAAGCGTGGTTATCCGTGACCAGCTTTCCCAAGTGCCAAAACGTGCAAGCACACCAGCAGGCAAAGTCCCAAAAGGATGCCAAGACCAGGCAGACAAGGAAAACATCAGAGCAAAGCAACCAAAAGGACATCAAGGCAAAGGCTGGAGGGCACGGGGGAGGCGGTAGGGCAAACAACATGCAAGAACACGAAACAGGCACACAAGCACACGAAGGCAGGCAAACCGAAAAAAATATACAAGTCCCAAGTAAATTGGAAGACTGAAAAAAATAAACTGATGATGACAAGATTGTTTCGTCGGAATTGCCCCGACTCATCAGGAGGCTGAACCTGACAATCTGCAGAATCCCCGTATTTGATGGTTTGGGTCATGAACCCTTCGACCCATGTTGAAGGCAGACTCTCCCCAAGCAGGACATAGAGGCAGGCAACAACCCTGCGGAGCACCAGGCAACGCAGTAGAGGCAGCCCAACTGCTTATCACGAAAGACGACTGCAAGGAACAACAGAGCAAGCGGACGAGCAGCTCGGCAACCGTGAGGTGAAGCGCAAGGCAACATCAGCAAGGCAACCAGACTACAAGGCACACAAGCAAGTAAAGGACGCAGAAGGCCAACAGGGCAAGCAGACGAGCAACTCAACAACCGTGCAGTGAAGCACAAGGCACCACCAACAAGGCAACCAAACTGCAGGGCATGCCAGCAAAGGACACTGAAGGCCGACAGAGCACATGGACAAGCAGCTCAGCAACCATGCAGTGAAGCACGAGGCACCACCACAGGGCCACCAAACCACAAGGCACACGAGCAAAAGACACGGGAGGCACGGCCCGCGGATAGGCGACAAGGCAGCAGAGCAGCGAGGACGACCTGCGAAGCAAGCGGCACGGGCAGCAAGGCAGCGGCAGAGCGCAGACAAGACAGTCTACACATCCAGCACGGAGCAAAGCAGCACATGACCTACTCACATCACGATTGAACCCCACAGACTGTTGGTTTCCACCACCCGCTGAGCCAGGGAGACACTCCGACGACCATCCGTCATCACCGACAGGCAACACAGACATCCCGAACCGATCGGCCCCCTAAGAGTGCAGTTGGCATCCAAACAAGGAACCACCGACTGCTTGGCACTGCTAGAGGGTGCTCGGCTAGAGACGCAAAAAGTACTTAGAAACAATAAGAGAGAGGAGAAACAAACATACCTACCTAAAACTGATTGTGTGTGTGTGTGTGCGTGTGTTCCTCCCTGCAGCGTTAGCGCTCTTGAAGCAGCGCTGCAGCATCAAGCAGCACGAGGCAGACATGAATGAGCCAACTGGGACAGAGAGTTCATTGGTAGTGTTGCCTCAGCCTGGCCTGGCTTTCTCCCCTTGCCTGGAAGGCTGAGATTTATCGACCTGTGTCAACCAGGTTTGTTGTTAGCCAGTGTGTACCCACTGGGCCTGGGAAACTTCCAGTAATGCTTTGGATGTGCATGAGATCTGTGGCCCTGGTAAACTCCTCAGAAATCTTTGACTCTTAAATACTGTGCCCGAGCTATGCCTGACTCAAGGACTTTCTGATCCCATTCAGTCTCTGGAAGTGACTTTTGCTTCCTGAACATTTACTTGTCCAAAAGTTACGGCCCTAGATTGAATCCGTGTGAATTTGAACTTGGTTCTTTGCAGAGGGCCGAAACAGAAAAGTTAGGGCGCATCCCCAATGCAGCTACGTTTGTGGTAAGTGACCAAATGTCCTAGCTCAGTTGGTACATCCATCAACGGTTGAATTACAGACCTGAGCTCGAACTCCAGTGGAATCAGATGAGTAAAAATGACTCTGAATTTACCTGGGGCCAGTCGGGTCAAAGATGGTATCCCAACGCAGTATGACCATGAACATAAACAGGCTGTGCTTCAATCTCCCTGATGATGGACATACTGCTAGTCAGGCCTGGCTTGTAGTTTACAATATGCAACTCAATGAGAATTTGCCAAAAAAATAGGGAGAACTCATATATGAAATGATGGGAATCCTCTTTTTTGAAGTTTTTTCAGATTACTTGTTGGTCTGACCTCGCATTCTGTGCATTTTATGTACGGGGAGAGCAGATACCTTGAAGCACGTGATTTGGCCCGAAAGCTGGTTGCTACCTACAGGCTTTGCAGTGAACAACTCTCAAGTCAGAGCCACTATGATTATGGGATGCGTGCTGTCATTTCTGTACTGAGAGCAGCTGGAGCTGTCAAGCAGAAATATGCTGAAGACATGCAAGAAGGGGTTCTGATGCTGAAGGCAATCAGGGATGTGAACATCCCGAAGTTCCTAGGCCATGATATCCCACTCTTCGAGGGCATCTTGATGGATTTGTTCCCAGGAGTGGTATTGCCAGTGCCAACATATCAAGTTATGAAAAACATGCTTTTGGGTAACTGCAAGAAGCTGAACCTTCAGCCCACGCCTCTCTTCTTGGAAAAGGTATAATATACCCTTCGATTTTTTCTTACTATTATTATTACTAGCTTAGCGACCCTGGTGCAGGCGGTGCGGGCTACGGCCGCAAAAAAATAAATAAAAAAAGATCACAGGAACTGCTCACATAGACGCAAATACACTGTAGTGGAAAAAAAGAGTGTGCCACTGTGCCAGCAATTAAAGGTATCTCAAAAAAAGAGAAGAGAAAATTTATACAAAAACAGATAGCGCGCCCTCAATAAAAGGCTTAAAAAAAACTAAAACAAACTAAAAAGGTGGAGAAAAAATGGCCTGAAAACTAACTCAGAGCAGAATCAAACGACCCCTCAATTTTGACCCCCTTCTCTTCTTTTGAGGTTGCATATCTTGCCGTGGGCACTCAGCCCTAATAAAGACTATCATACTGGTAAAAAAAAAAACATTCACAGACTAAAGAGCTCGTTAGACACTCCTCGGGGCGTCCTCGGGGCGTCCTCGGGGCCCGAGGAGTTTTCCTTCGGGGCATCCGAGAGAATTCCCCCCGTCGTTCCACTTATCCTCGGGGAGGCCTTCCGAGGAGTTTTCCTACGGAGGGCCCGCCGCACCTTGCATAATAATATTATTGCCGGTCGCGGGGCGTGTTGGGTCGGTGGTCCATGGGCGGGTGTCCGTGCAGACAGCAATGGTCCAGCTTCGAGTGCCGACAAAAAATTGCATCTTCGCGATGAACCATTAAAATAAAATCAAAAGTCGGCGCGTCGTCCCGGTTCGACATTAAAAATTTGAATGACGTCGGTGGGGTGAGGGCGGCTCATCATGTGGCTGCGGCGGCTGGTGGAGGACGTCGGAAAGGAACCTGCTTGAAGTGTGCGCCGGCGGGGTCGGCGTGAGTACTGCGTGCGGGTAGGGAAGGAACATGTTGGGGGAGAAGACGCCATCTCGGCAGTCGTCGGGCCCGTTGTGTGCTGAGAGTGGCGGACTGCATCTTGCAGGCAGCTCCAGCTTCCTTCATTGCGCGATCGGCGTCCATCTCCAGCCGTCCGGTTTGGCAGTCCGGTGGAACTTCGGCGGAGTCTGTCACCATCCTCGACGGCTCGTTTCGCAGCGATGGAGGGCGGTGACAGTGACGACGGTGGGAAGCTGACGACAACGGAGAGTACGGCAGTGACAGCTGCTGTCACCGCGGTCCTCTTTTGTTGTCAGGTGGAGAGGACTGCAGGGAGAATGAAAGCGCAGATCCGTGCGCAGAGGAGGAAGGTCATGTAGTGCACGGGGTGCAAGGGTTGGACACCGCCGCCATCTGCGATGCCGTCGTTCAGGTCTTCTACGCCTTGGGTTGCGGAGTTCTTCCCAGAGCAGCACCCCGGTGGTGGATTAAAAGAAGGACGGGGGGGGCGTGGGAGGATCTGCGGCAATGTGACGATGCCACGGAGTACTTTCGGGATAAGCTGCACATGTCGCCACATGTCTTCCGGGAGATTCCGGAAGCTTTGTCGTCGTTCCTGCAGCGCCGTGTAACGTTCTACAGGGAACCCCTTCCGCCTGATCACATTGTCATGTACGCATTGTACCGGTGGCCGTCGGGGGAGACGTAAGAGAGCAACATGTGTAACTTCGGCATCGGTAGAGCATCAGGTTTGGTGGCGGTGCGGGACGTCACTGTGGTGTTGCTGTCTGTCTACCGAGAGAAGATATCATGGCCGACGGGGTGCGCAAGTCGGTTGTCCTCCGTGCTTTCGCTAGCAAGGGGTTCCCCAACTTCCCTGGCTGCATCGACTGCACGTATATCTACATCAACAAGCCAGCAAACGCCCCTGGCGAGGACTACTACGATCGGAGATGAAGTTTCTCGATCATCATGCAGGTTGTCGTCGATCTGAACTTGCGTGTGCTGGATGTGTTCGTCGGCTATCCTGGAACATGCCACGACGTCAAGATCATCCACCTAAGGAGTTTGTGGGCCCGTGCAGAGGCTAGGGAACTTTTCACAGGACCGCCTGTGATGCAGCCATTCAGCGTGCAGACGAACGGCTACCTACTGGGTGACAATGGTTACCCGCCTTCTGAATGGATAGTTGTCCCCTATGGCTGCACTACTTGTCACCCATCCGAGATGCGGTTCGACAACAAGCAGAAGACCGCGAGGGGGGCAGTTGAGAGGGCTTTCGGCAGACTTAAGGGAATGTGGAGGCTGTTCCTGCGGTCGCACAAGACGAACATGGAGACGTTGCCACAACAGTTTGTGGCCGTGTGCTTTCTCCACAATCTGCTCATCAACCCCAGCATCCCGTTTGATGAGAATCTGTTGTGGGAGGTGGATGCGAACGGAGTGTGGATCTTGGAATCCAGCGTCCCTTGAGGCCGGTGTGCATGGAGAGCTTGACTGGAGATGCGTTAATTCTGAGGGATGCAGTGGCCGAGAGTATGGGTGGCCTTTGACGACGCTTGACAGGGGAGTGCTTGTGAAGGCGGATCCAGAGGCGAAGTTGGTTAACGTAGTCTGTATTCCTACTTTTGCTTGTTCATGTTGTGCAATCGGGGTGGCCGATGCTCATGATCGCGCGTCGTTGCGGTGTCGTTTTCGCATCATCGTGTGGGTAGTGTGCTGCCTCTTCCTGGCGGACATGGAGCGTTGTGTGGGCGTCGTGGGACGGCAGGACCCATGCACGTGTCATGGGCTCCCGTTTTTCGTAGATGATCGTGGCAGCCATGTGTCGTGGGTTGGCGTTTTTTGGTAGATGATCATGGCAGCCATGTGTCGTGGGTGGCAGGCACGTGTCGTGGGCTACCGTTTCTTCAGTCGTCAAGGTTATTACCTCTTTTTGAATGTCGCACATGGCATTTGACCCATAGCTACGATCCGGACACCCGGACAAGGATCCGGACTGTCCGGAGTCTGGTGTCTGGTCCAGGTTTCCGGATCCCGGTCCGTTTGGTGGGAAAATGGGGGGTAGCCCAAAATTTTTCCAGGCTGCCCAGGTCGTTTTATTCCAATATGGGTCGTCATGGAAAAATACTTGGCCATTTTTTGAGTGTTGTGCGTGGCATCCAGATAGGGCCGGACAGAGGTCCTAAGTTTACTTTTCCCGCCCTGTCCTCTTTTCAAAGCAAACCAACCTCGTTTTTTTTTTT